TACTTTCCAGCAACAATGTAATTAACACTTCATTACATAAGTGAATGAGACATTTCACACAAATAACAGTAAAGACAACAAAAGTTACATTTACATTACATTCCTGACAGCAAGTTTGACCAGCTGTGTGGCAACCAATCAGAAAACGGCCTCTATGACCAAAAGGTTAACTGGATGTACCCAAATGCGCAGAGACTTTTGCAGATGCTGCAAGTCAATTGGCAGGGATGCTATTCACTGTCTGCACTTCCGGGTCATTTCAACAGACGATCATTGTATGTGAGTGTCTCCATTTCACTAGGTCAGACCTTAAAGCCAAAGTCCCATTAGTCATCACACACTGGTGACATTGCATCTCCACGTTTGACCCATCTCCTTAGGGAGTGGTGAGCTGCAGCAGTGGCTGCGCTCAGGTGCTAATGGGTAGTTTACCTCCCAATCCAACCCCTTAAAGCCCAGGGAGGAGATTCATACCACCAGGCCACTGAGAAGGTAAATAGACTACATAGAAAGCTAGTTTAGAAACCAAACAAGTACCTGCCTTGGGTTAGGGTTTATGGTTAACTCATGCTAATTGTGACTCATTGGGAAATTATATTGGCAGACATTGCCAAACAACCGAAATCTGGAAAATTGGTGAAGTTGTAGCAGCATAGAAGGGAAATGCTAATGAAAGTTTTAATCATTGCTGCCATTGCTGTGTGTAACACAGCAAACAGAAACATTCCTGTGCCTTCCATTGTTGATCTATTAGTATAGGAATCCTAAGTTTCCTCCCCTTCCAGTCCACTCATGGGTCCCTGGAAGAATGAAAAAAAAATGAATGGGACTAAAATAGCTATTTTCTAATCCACTTTGCCTTCAGCCGTGAATTGTACGTATATTGTACTTCAATTTAAAAGAAAAATAATGATGTGTGTTTCGACTACGCCAGTGACATTCTTTTAGACTTTTCAGCTTGTAAAAATTTGTAAATACTATGACAACAAATCAGACATTGGCACATCACATATATGACATAATCCACTAGTTCTGTGAGGGGCCACAATGGCGGAGAGAACCAACCAAGTATATTTTCTCTATAACATTCCCCCCTCCAAGAAACGTCCTGGAACTCCTCTGGTGGAAATGCAGCTACAGCCAATCTGTCAGCTCTACTGCAGTGCTCTCAAGATTGTCTTTGAAGTAAACGTTGGAATAATTTGATAAAAGAATTGGGTGTAAAAAATGTACCTGTGGATCAAAGGCAGAACTAATGAGCTACTTTGTTATTCCAGGCATACTGCTTGTCTTTTGATGTGGAAATATCACAGACAAATACTGGTCTATGCACTGAAATTACCAGTGATGACTTATTGACTCAGAAAGGATAAACAACGGACTTGTTATCAACTACTGTTGCAATCAAACAGTCAATAGTATGGCCTCTACATCCACTGTGCCAACTTTGTTTGGGGGCAGCAGTAGCTCAGAAGGTAGAGTAGGTTGTCCAGCAATCGGAGGGTTGTAGGATCAATCCCGGATTCCTATGGGGAATTCTGCTGTTGTGTTCTTGGGCAAGAAACTTCACTCTCCTTGCCTGCAGGTGGTGGTCGGAGGACCAGTGGCACCTGTGCACAGCAGCCTTTTCCCATTAGTCTCGGTGAGCAACTTTCACAGACCATGAGCAAACTTAGGGTTTATCTAAAGATTTTCAACTGGTCTAACAATTTTACTGCCAGCTCTAGTCAGTCATAATTACTGTGGATGGTGCTACAAAAGGCTAGAAGCTTAGCTGCTGTACAGAGCTGTACTGTACATTGGTTCTACACAACTTCAATACAAGGTGTGTACTATTTGACCTTCTAACAACAGTTACCCTTTAGATTTGTGTTTCTGCTGTACTCTACCCTGAAAAGGTTAGGCATTCCTGATGGGTTCTGGCTGGGTGGTGTGATAACAGTTCCATAACTGCTCATCACACAAGCAGATTTTTGTAGATGATTTACACTGTTCACGCTGCTTCCCCTAAGCTTCTCGGAATCTAGCTGAAAAATGAAATTGACAGCTCTCAGTGGTTTGGTTGTCATGAAAAGTAAAAATAGCTCATGCCCTGAACAATTCTGGAAGGAATTTGCCCAAAACTCCCCTAAGGAAATACGAGATTACAGATGAACGGGGTTCCTCTCAGCAAGAAAAATTAATAAAACAACTGGATTTTGGGAAACTTTGGGGTCCTAAGCAGAAATAACTACATTTATCAAAAGGCTTTTTCAAAAGAGGCAAGCTTTTGAGGCATGGCAATGGGACAAGCATGTGGACAGAATTTATTTCAATAATATCTAAATATTAGGTTTAGAGGGAAATACCAGATTGTTTTATGAGCTAAGCAGAAAGAAAAAGAAAAACATCCCTTAAATGTGTTTTTAAAACCCCATTTTTAAACCCACTGTGCATTTTGACATGAGGTGCAAACTCTAAAGAATATATTGAAATTGATGTTCCAAAAGGAAACTTTAAAAACAGTTCTTAGCCATATTTGTGTAGACTGAAATTATAATGTTTTTGAGAATCAACAACAAAAACACCTTAAAGTATTCTTTATGATTTTTATGCCTAAGAAAATTCAGCATAGCTTGCATAAAAGTCTTCACATTTTATTGAAAGTATCCTGAATAGCATAGTATTTCATGTTATTGAGAATCTGAGGCATTTATTTCATTTGTGATTATCCATAACATCTTACCTTGCCAATGGATGTCTAACCTGTTACATTTAGGGCCTCTAACATTGTTAGTGAGGTTTTCTGGTCTAAATGTGCAGTTAATGTTCTGTTCCACCACACAGCAGCAGGACGGATATAAGCATCCTTAATTGAGAGAGCTGCTGTTCACATTAACTCCATTACTCATTCAAAATTCTTAATCATCCCTGATGTGGAGACATAATTTGTTAGGATCAAACAGTAATTGACCTGCATTTTTCTACACCCAGGTAGACTAGAATCTTTATGAGTGATTTTGTTTATTTTGTGGAATTCCCACAGCTCTTCAACTAAGCTGCAAATGTAAAACAAAAATAAAAAAATAAAATGAAATAAAATTTCATAATAATTTATATATATATATATATATATATATATATATATATATATATATATATACACACACACACAGCAGTTAGTTAAAATGTTTTACAATATTTAAAAAATGACTTTTACTTATTCACTTTTTGTTCCACTTTAACATCTCTTACTGGGTCTGGGTCCTCTCCTTAGCAACAAGATCATCACCTTCTCTGGCTTTGGGTCTGATCCAAACATTAAGCCGTTGCTTCATGTCAAGCTTAGTCTGAAATTCAACTGCAAAACAAATTCTATTTTCCTGTTTTCAGCAAAAATAGATACATAAATAAAAATACAGTCAGCCTTAAACAGTTAGAATAAATCTAGCTGTGTTCAGTGATAAATACTACTGGATCAAGGGGGCATTTCAACAAGCCTTATGCATTATTCAGCAAGGGATGAATAACGAGGGCATCCTCTGACTCAGTCAGCACCCTTCAATAATTTAAGCCCAACTTGACAGAGAAGCACCACGGGTTCGATATGATGTTAACAAATATTTATGAATATCTCAAAATGTTTGCATTTCATTGTATACATTAGTTTAAAATACTAGCTGAGAATATTCAAGCCACTTTACCTACTAGATGTGACTTTGTGCATTTTTTTAAAAGAAAGGGTTAACATCTCACCTATTCATGCATCTCAGTATCTGACAGCAGCCTATTACTTTGCTCTTGTCACTTGACCTTTACATATTTCATCAAACTAAATGACTTGAGCTGCAAAGTCAATGGCAATGGGAGTCGAGAGGTTGCAGAGGGATCTTAACGTATCGTTCACCCAGCCTCTCAGAGGAAAAGAGATAATGGTGGCATAAAGTAAAAATTCTACTATAACAACATAAAATAGGAACAATTGGTGTGTTTTAGATAATAAAAACAGCACATGTGATAACAGGTGGGGGAACTTTAGTAAATGAACTGTCCCATCAGAGGATCAGGTAGTAAGAAAAGTCAATCGAGGCTTAATATATGCACACAAACGCGTCGCAACTCAGATCCCAATTGTGGATTATAAAAATGGTCTTGAAATCTGACTTACAAGGGGGGACCGGGCTTTCTCAGTCCTAGCACCGTTACTCTGGAACCAGTTGCCACCCTCAGTTAGGCTGTCCCCTTCTCTGCCAGTCTTTAAGAATTACCTAAAAACACACCTCCTCCGCTTGGCGTTTCCAGAACATGTTTGATTTTGGCCCTCTTTTATGCTGAATCCATTCCACAGTTTTCATTGGTACACTCAATCCATCCACTCAATCCAAATGTGTTTCACATAACTTCATATATATATATATATATATATATATATATATATATATATATATATATATATATATATATATATATATATATATATATATATATATAAAGTATATGGGGCAGCAGTAGCTCAGGAGGTATTGCGAGTTGCCTCATGATCGGAGGGTCATGGGCCTGATTCCAGCTCCCGCCAGGGGTATCCTGCTGTTGCGTCCTTGGACAAAACACTTCACCCAACTTGCCTGTGTTGGAGGTGGTCAGAGGGGCCGACAGCACCAAATGGCAGCCTCCCCTCTGTCAGACCGCCCCAGGGTGGCTGTGGCTACAAGTAGCTCACCATCACTAGCAGTGTGTGAATGTGAGAGTGTGTGAAAGTGTCTTTGGTTGTCTAGAAAAGCGCTATATAAGTTCAATGCATTATATATATATATATATATATATATATATATATATATATATATATATATATATATATATGTATATTGGTAACTTTTACTACGCAACTTAAATTTCCATTAACTGGGAAATAAAACATCTGACAATGATTACATGATTGAAATCATTTTTTGTCCATAAAAGTGGTCAAGTTAGAAATGTACTTATAAGATGGAAGTTTTGTGTATATTCAGCTGACTTACCTTGTTTTTCAAAATTATGCTTAATGTCATCTTCCTTGAACATGATGTCAGAGTGTCCGCCAATGCTAACGTTAACACCGTAGTCATCCAGGACCTTCACATCACAGATCATGTTATGGAGTTGATTGGGTGTGGAGTTAAGTGAGTGTCCACCTCCGTCGTCCTCATCGCAGTCATAGTCATCCAGAATTGGGGTCTCGCGAATGGGCATTCCGATCACAGAGCTGCCATGTTGGTGAGTTCCTCGGGAGACCCGGTAGCTGTCACGACCCTGCGGACCAAGCAGGACGGAGGGAATGTAGTGGATCTCATGGGTGGCCTCAGTACTGGCGCTCTTTTGTGGAATACGACGACGCTTGCACCATCTATGGCGTGTGTACAGGACGAGGGTGAAGAGGAGAATGAGGAGGAGGAGAGCAATAAGTCCTCCCTGAAAAAAAGGAAAGGTATGTGAGGAAAGGAAGACAAAATTCCGAACTTGAAAACACCATTACAGTGATTTAAATTACTTTTATTGACTCAATTACTGCAACACAGAGCTGCCAAATGCTGGGAGCTGTTTGCCAGCAGTGAATATCAGAATGCTCTTTATATATATATACAAAAAAAAAGTTATATGAAATGTTTTGACAATTGTTTCATTACTTTTAATTGTTTTTTAACTTTGTTGTTTTTAAAGTTATATTTACATAATTTGACTTCTACACTTGCATTAAAATGGACAATATTCTGAAGGTAGTCTAAATATTTGTGATCCAACTAAGATTCTAAACTTTGTTTAAAATTATCATTAACTGATGACAATTCCCAAAATCAGTGTCATAAGTACACGTAACTGATTTCTACGTAACTCTCGATGCATTCATTAGGTTTTCTCTTTATCTTTGTGTATCTGTGCATCGTGAATAATATAACAAGATGAGATTATCATCTGCAGTTTATTTATCAAGCGCATTTAAAAACAGCATGTGAGCTGACCAAAGCACCTCACAGTTTATATAGCAATCATACAAAACTAACATGCCATCACAACAAAGAATGAGACAAAAAAGATAAAACAAACACTTTCAATCAGCTGACTGAAACAGTCAGTGAAATCATCAATTCGCCATAATTTTTGTAACAGCAATGTGTAATTTTTACAAGCAATGAAGTATTCTGGTTTCTGTTTTTAAATAGATATACATTATGCAATGCATTATAATGAAATTTAATTTCAAACTTTTAATTTAAAAATACTTTAGCATTTTTGCACATGTATATAAACCAGCAAAATCTGGCTTACTGCATCAAATAAAAATAAATAAATCCATATGTCAGCAATGCTTGTGTGTGAAATGTTTTTATATATAATGCTTTAAATTATAAAAGGGATTGCACCTTGCTGCACAAAATTGTTTTTATTTCTAGTACAGTACAGTCAGGCAGAAATAATTGTCTCTGTAACTGCTGCATCTGGAGCTCTTGCTTTTGAGTGTCACACATCAGTGAACAACCATCGTTTGTCTGCTTTCTCCTTCTTTTTTTCTTCCCTAAGCCCTAATCTTGGTCCCGTAATTCACCAAGGAGCATCATATTTCTCCGTGGTTCATTCAATATCTGACCATCACAGAAACATCAAACACCATGCCACACATACTGTGGTTAGAGGTTAAAGCAAATCCATACGCAGAGACGGAGTGGTGGAACGTGAGGAAGGGCATGGCTTAGTCTTTGATTTTTCACAATGCAATCCAGTGTGTGTGACATAGTATTGGATTTAGCAAGACATGGCAACCAAACGGTGATATATTTTAATGTCAAACTAGAGGGAAAAAAGCTACCGTCAGCACTTCTGGAGGTACATATTTAACAATGGAGCTATATTTGCAAAATGATACATGAACACAGGGAGACTATATGTGCATGCACACACTAACTGGTGCGCACACCATGAAGGCAGAATAATAAATAAAAATTGCAAGGGTTCATTTATCACAACATTTAAAATTCCATCTTCATGAGGAAAAACAAACCTCTTTCAAATTATAGCTCATGCACTGCTGGGTATCCATAAATCAAACATGCTGAAAGGTGAGGCAGCTCAGAGAGGACTCATGCGATGGACAAACTTGTCCATTAATCTCCAGTAGGTTGGCGGTCCTGCAGAAACGCCACTTCCTAAACTCCCCCAGTGTTCTGTATATCTGTATTAGTTGTGCATGAAGAGCACCAAAAGCGCATATTGGCTTTTTGTTCTTTTTGCAAGTATGGATTTGCATTGTGTGGCTCTGCAGAACACTTACAGAAAAGTGAAGGAAGGAAGGAGTAAAGGATAAAACATCTTAGCTATCATGTGCAGAGTCTCACCAAAAAAAAAAAAAAAAAAAAAAGATTTTGACTTTTGGAAAATAAAATCATGTCGTGGCATTGCTACCGTGTCAGAATTACACGGTGGTGTAACAGAAAGCAACATGCTTCTCCTCCACTGACTGAAGCATGTAAAGAAGCAGTCATGTTCCTGCCACGTCTGTCTGTCAGACCCAGACCAGCCTGCTTGGTTGCCAGAGTGACGACTCTCCCCAGGGCAATGAAGACACCACCACTTCTGTGAAATTGCTTCTGGAAAGCCAAACTCAAAAGGGTTTTCCAAATTCCAAACACCGTCAGACTGCCAAAACTGTATACTGCTGTGAAAAATACTTGGCCTGTTCTAGATCTCTTCTGTTTTTGCTTCTTTTTATTACAGATTTAAATGTTTAAGAACAGAAAACACATTTATATACTGACCATGATAACCTCAGTCAACATCAAATGTAGCTTTCAAATGATGATTTCATTTAACACGAAAAAAAACCTCAATTCAACCCATTTATTAAAAACTGCCATCAAACAATTGCAATAACAAGCAGTGTCTCTCACATTGCTGAGGTGCTCACTGTTCTTTGTCTACCTGTTAAACCCAGCCATGTTGAAGGAGTTACAAGCAGAAACTGCAAGTTAAGGTCAAGGGTCAGACGTTCTCCCTCAGGATGTCCTGTTACAGAGCAAATTTCATGGTTCCATTAACTAAAGCAAGTTGTCCAGATCCTGAAGCAGCAAAGCAGCCCCTGACCATCACATTACCGCCACCATGTTATTTTATCTGAAATGCATTGTTTGTTTTACATCAGATGTAACGAGACAAAAACCTTTTAAACAAAACTCAATTTTACTTGGTGTCTGCTTAATGTTTATTTCACCAAAATCTTTTTTCGCTATGTGGTCAAAAACATTTAGGTCTTAAAACTCGCCCACTGATGCCATTTTTGCTGAGTCTCTTCTTTTTATCGGATCATTACCTCATGCCTCTACTTTAACCAGTTGTCTTTTATTCTTGAATATGAAGGTGAAGGTGTAGTCTTGAGATATTTTAGGCAACTTTGTGTTGTCAGAGAGTTCTACTTAAAGGCACACTTGGTAGTTTTAGCTTTCTTTTAGCACCCCCTATAGTCCATTATTAATTCACTAACGTAAAACCGAAAGCAAAACTCCATTCCTCGTTCATGTTTTTAACACCTTAATCTAACGGTTGAAATGTCTCCTCAGCCTTAATTAGTTTTTACAGGAGTTATTCATCACTAAATCAAACTAATCAGCTGTGTTCATGATAGGGCTGCAACAAACGATTATTTGGATAATCGATTAATCGGATGGGGTCTCGACACGATTAATCGATTAATCGGATTACATAGGGACATTTTTAAAAACTGCTAGAGAAACGTTATTTTTCTCCTTCCTTCACTTTATTAAACACGCCATTATTAGAAAACAGTTCAATAGCAGAAAAACAACATGCCATCACCTAAATTGTCTTATAAGGTGTATAGACAGAGACCCTAAGCTACACCTATCTGTGACCTAAAATGCTTGGTCCAAGTTAAACAGCTTAAAGAGCAAGTCAACCCCTACCAGAGTCTAACTCCACTCCCGCTTCATGTTTGAAAAATGCAACACATGCTGTTGCCTGGCAGACCGAGAGGGCGGAGCCGCTAACAAATACACACACACTCAGGCTCACGACAGCATTGTGACATCATAATGTACCAGTTTACATCATAGCATACTTCTTAGCCAATAGCGGTGGTAGATTTAAATTAAAATACAGTGCAGAGTTTTTACCTGACAACGGCACAACACTGCCAGTTTGAGGCAGAATATTTAAATTTTAACTAAGATGCAATGAAGTGCCAAATTATTGATGACACGTGTCTGCAGCACAATTAGACACTCGTTTATTTAGTTTATCAGCAAAAAAAAAGTTTATTTGGGGGTGACTTGCTCTTTAAGGGCAATTCTCATCTGTTTTGTTTGATCTCATCTGTAGACATTTATTATAATTGGGGATGTCAAACAACTAATTTTTAAATGTAATTAAACATAGGCTGTGAATTAATCAAAATTAATCACTATTTCCAAAAATGACTGAAACAATACCAAATAAAACAAAAATAAATGAATGCCATCCTCCTTGCGATGATGCCCTGGGCAACTGCCATAAAGTCACATCAAGAAATGTTGCTGATCATTCCAATGATCCCAAACAGACTCACATTAGGCCACATGAAAGCAACTGAACCCAAAAATATATTAACCAGTATATAACTGCACTCACACAACACGCCTGCAGCAACAGTTAGGACTCCTCCCTCCCTTTTAAGAGCGTTTTCGCTTCTGAGGACATTGTGGTTGTAAAGCCACATGCTAGTAGTCTGGCCCCGGTGTGATCAACCAGTTTCTGCGGAAATGTGACGGCGGAACCGGTTCGCAGGGCGCGAGTCCCCCCCCCCCCCCCCCCCCCCCCCATCTAATAGCGTCGCGCTTACAATTTTATAGACTTTTTTTAAGAGCTTAGGGCATGTCTAGCGTGTGTAATAATCCGGGGCTTGGGTGAATCACATTTGAAAAGTTTTTAACTTACCCGGACACAGAGCTCTCTCCTTCCTTGCTGATGATTCTGACATGCTTGCGTTTAAGACGCTGCATCATCACCGTAGTATCCCCGTGCCATGCTAAGTCTGACCTACAAACATTGCATGTCTTCGCCTGATTTAACTGAAAATGCTCCCAAACTTTAGAAGTTTTTACTTTTTTGGGGTCTCGCTGCTTCTGCCATGTTCCTCTTACAAACACCTGCCGGCTCTCCACCGGTCTGCGTGCAACGGCGGGCGGGAGGGGAGGGGGCTTTTGGAAGAGTTGCGCAACACAACGAATCGATGACGCAATTCGTTGCCAACGCTTTTAGTAATCGATTTTCATCGAATTTATCGATTCGTTGTTGCAGCCCTAGTTCATGATCTAAATCATTGAATGGAATCATCACTCTGGAGGGACAATGTGGTTTTAATCATGACTGTGGAACATCAGACCAGCTCTATACCCTTACCAGGCTCCTGGAGGGTATGTGGGAGT